CTGAGAAGTGGTCTGTGGTCACCACCTGAAGAACCATTCCTTTATTGGGGATGTCTTGCTAACTGCCCATGCTTTCCATCTGTTGTCTATTCCATTTGCACAACAGCATGTGAAATTGATTGTCAATCAGTGTTGCTACCTAAGTGGACAGTTTGATTTCACAGAAGTGTGATTGACTTGGAGTTACATTGTGTTGTTTAAATGTTCCCTTTATTTTTTTGAGCAGTGTATATTTCTCGTGTATATGTATGTGTGTGCTTCTAAAGCAAAAGTCCAATATATTTCTATGTAGAAACAACAAGTGCTCAGAAAATAAAACTGACCATTCAAATTAATAGTAACCAAAGATGATTATAAAAATAGTCATGATAATTTAACAATAGCAATTACTAGGATGGAGTTATCAAATGAAGAACATATCTGCCTTCATTAGATTTAAAACTTTGCCAAGTCTTTTCCAAACATCAGTGAAATAGCAAATATTTTTAAAATTATATATTATTATCACTTAACTACTTAGAATACTTTTGTAAGACAATTCATGAAATTCCTTTGAAATATATTGATTTGAAAACATGAAGCGCATCATGGGAAACATTTTAATAACAATTTATTTTATAAAATTTCATTCATTTTAGAATTAAAAAAAGATAGACAATTGCTTTAATTTTGCTAGCAAAGCTTGAAGAACAAATCCTTATCTGCAATATTCTCAGAACCTCAACCATCATCATCATTTTAGCCATTGTCTATCCACACAGGATTTAAATACATATGTTAAACAAATAGAACACTCAGTTTTCAAATATTAAAAAAATTACTTGGGAAATAGTCTTGTACAGTATTTTAAATGGCCACCTAATATCTTTTACTCCTTGGCTCTGCTTTTTATGTGGAAGGATGTTTCAAAAATATAAACCATTAGTTGCTTTCAGAAAGTTGTTTGCTTCCCCGCTTCAGAGAGGTTTTCCAAACATTCTGTGTTACATGCAAGCCCTGTTAAACAGTTCACTAGTTGTTCTACTTCATTCACACATTATATATATATAATCTTGGCACAAATGTTCCTGTTAAATTCAAGGCAGATGAATTTTACTGTGGGTTGGAAACAAATGGCTACAAACAAACCATATTTTCATTAGCTAATCCTAATGACTTGTCAAACAGTATAATAAATTATCTTTCCTTTTGCTCCTCAATTATCTAAACAGTTTGACCTAGATGGATTTGAATGTGTGTCAAGTCTTTAAGAATCCAATTAAAAATCGCATATTCTAATGCTTCTAGCACTTTTATTTAGTTCACCATTATGAGGCAGTATCTCACTTTTATATACTTGACTTGATCAGAAGAAAAAAGTGGATCAAGGTGAAATTTGCAGGGGAACAGCTGATTCCAAATGGCTGGTTTACACTATGAGTAAAATTCCACTCTATGTTTCTGCTGCTGTCACATATACCCCTTCCATTATCCTGATAATTTGGTCTGGAGAATCTCCCAAATTATCTAAACAGTTTAGGAAAATGCAAAGCCCGAGGATAGTACTCTGCACAGTCTCTTAACTTTTCACACATACGCTGTTGGACAGCCACAAATATATGGCAGGAAAACATGGATATAAACTATACTGTTTTGTAACTTCTAGCTAGTTTTGTAACTTATATTATTTTACAAACATTCAATGAACAGATGAAATAATATTATTTGCTAACTGAAGTTTCTTGCTCTAACTTAGAAATTTTGTTTTTATGTACACAACCCAAATTCATGGTACCTGAATTACTCTCCATCCAAGTGGAATTTAATTCTCCTTTGTTTTTATACTTTCTTAGATTTTGTGATGCAGAAATAAATAAATCATAAATATATTAAGAAAGCTACAGACATATTTTGTATGTATATAAGATGAGCAGATCAAGAAGCATTTCAAATCTAGTTCTTCAAAGTATGTGCATCATCCTCTGAAAATGTTTAAATCCTGATTCAAAACCAGCATTTCTACATGTGACTTTTATCTTCTCTAAACTCAATACCCCATTTTGGCCTAATTTTTTGTTACTGGTACAGAAATTCCAGTGTCTCTCTAAAAACCAGCAGAAAAAAAGGAGCTTTGTAAGCACCACAATGATGACTTCAAAGACTGAAAACTTTTTAATGTTTCACAATTATTTAATACCCAAATAACAGATGGAACCATTTCCTAGGAAGGACTGAAACCAACATCTGAGTCAGTATAAAGGTATATTGTGGTCAATATGTGACAGATATTGATTAATACAATACTAGCATAGATGGACTCCAACACAGTACAGTTCTCAACACAGATTATTCACTAGATTATTTCCTATTGGTCTCAAAATTACCTTGAAAAATCATAATTCAATTTCTTTTTGAATACCCTAGATGGAATCATTAAGGCATATATTACAGTATACAGCTGGCTAGTAATTGTCTTGCATGTGGGGTTTTAAAAATTTCTCTGGTAATAGTATCAAAACAATAATTGCTATGAATATAATTTTACATAGCTTTAAATAACTGTAAATGCAATTGCTTTTAAACAAATCATACATTCATCTACAAGTCATATATGAAGCAATCAAATAAGCCAGCGGTCCCCAATCTTTTGGGTGCCAAGGACTGGTTCTGCGGAGGGTGGCTTTTCCGCAGACTGGAGGGGGGAATCCCTTGTGTGTACTGATGGGGCTTTGCTGGCTTGTTCAGACTGTTTCTGTGCCAGTCCACAACCTGGGAGTTGGGGCCCCCAAAATAAGCCATTATATGCAGCTTTTATTCTATGGAATAATAGTCATTTCAAGCCAACTTACATTAGAAGACCAGGATTGAATGTCATATATACAATAAAACTTATAAAGTAATATGAGTAATTACAAATCAGTCTCAAAGAAGTATAAAATCAAAATGTACTTGATAAAGATAATAATTCCACACTTAAATGCTCTGATAAAGTTTCAATATGGAGAGTTTTTTCATCAATCTGGAATAGCAAAGTCTAATTTCTGACAAGAAGATATAAGCCACAGAAGATTTTGGAGACTGATTGTGGAAATTTACTATCAAAACATTGATATTAATAAAGTATAGAAAACTCAAAAAAGTTAAGTATCTATAGAAATCCTGAATTTTGATAAGCAGAGATGTTTATTGTCTGCTCCAAAGCATTACTAATATTTTACTATTTTGAAAACAATGCTATTCTTAGAAGAACTAAATATAACTATTACCTATATGAATATTCTCAGTGGATTGCTCTTGTAGACTTGAATTTAATTTCAAACATTTTAACATCCATATAAATCCCAAAAAGTTCAAGGAGTCTTACTTTCTAATCAGTGCTATTAGTTCTAATATGTGTTCCTACAATGCAGTCATAAGCAAACTCTTTGGATTACAATGTCAGTTTACTGTTTTACATTTACAGTATATTACATTTTCTAAATTTCATCACCATCACCACTGCACTTTTCTGAATAACTATCAATATGGATTCAACAATACATTGTCTTAAAATTATGTAAATTTTGAACTATATTGCTAGTCACATGCAAATTCATTCAGCAAAATGAATATTGTAATTAAGAGGTGACAAGAACATTAATATGGTTTTTTTATCCCACTATTTTCATGTTTTCAATATTGCTTGAATGTGATATGCTGACATGATACACTACAAAATAATTAGGTCATGCTGTCATACTGTGCAAAACATGGTTTGTACATATCCACAATAATGATCTGTATCTGAGATTTATAAACTAAAATATATTAGAGAAAAACTAAACCCAACCAATGACTGTTTGAGATATAAAATATACTGTAAAACATTTTATAAAATTATGTTCTGTTTTAAAGCATAAACATTTAATAGTTTTATACTTCTCTAGATTATAACATTCAACTCAATATCCATAAGCATATCAGAAAGAATTATTCTGACATAATTAAAATGACTTAAGTATGTATTATTATTTAAATATTATTTAATAATATATATTATATATATTATAAGAGCCTCAGTGGTGCAGTGGTTAGAGTGCAGTACTGCAAGCTACTTCTGCTTGCAGCCAGCTACCTGCAATTTGGCAGATCGAATCTCAGCTCAAGGTTGACTCAGCCTTCTATCCTTCTGAGGTGGGTAAAATGAGGACCCAAACTGGTGGGGGCAATATGCTGACTCTGTAAACCGCTTAGAGAGTAAAGCACTATAAAGTGGTATATAAGTCTAAGTGCTACTGCTATATAAATATTATAATAATTTAAATATAGCATAAAAATACCTAGTTATCTTTGGTAAGTAATTTCATAATAAATACATGCATGCAGGGGTGGGATTCTACCAGTTCGCACCTATTCACTAGAACTGGTTAACATTCTAAGCAGTTCGGAGAACTGGTTGTTAGAAGAAATTACTGGCCTAATCCTGTAAGGAAGGCAGGAAGGAAACATTCTGGTGTTGCTTTCAGAAACTGTCTCTCCATTAACCCTTATTACATTCTTGGCAAGACTAGACTTCCTGTCTCAGGAACTTCTCTGGAGTTTTTTTCGCCTCTCCTTTGCTGGTACTTTGCTTGCGTGGAGTAACAATTCAAAGTTACAATGGCACTGAAAAAAGTGACTTATGACCATTTTTCACACTTACGACTGTTGCAGCATCCTCACAGTCATGAGAGGCCAGGCGAGGAGATGCGTGCCTCGATGTGAGTGATATGGAGTTGACCACGCCCAGCCAATAACATGACCACCAAGCCACGTCTACCCGGTCACATGACCACCAAGCCACATCCACCAAATAAGCCACACCCACAGAACCGGTTGTTAAAAAAATTGAATCCCAACCCTGCATGCATGTGAATAAAATCCAAGGATAATTCTGATATTAAGGCTCTTGAAACAGGAAAAAACATTAAATATAAGTTTTCCTAGAAAATATTATTTTCAATATAAAGTATAAAACTATCAAATGGCAACACATTTCTTACTGGTAAACTTGAAGGCCTCTCTTGTTGGATTAGGGTCAATTCTTCATGGTTAGGTTTGTTCGGGGTGACAGGGGGTTGAGATCTGGTTCCATAGCCTTCCTGAGACATTTCCTAGATAAAATATATATTTACATGTTAGTAATAGGAAACACTAGCCACGATAAAGGAAAGAAAAGGAGAACAATTAATTATAGGACTGTTCTAGTTCTATGTTGATACCTTTCCACTCCCCCTCCCCACAATTTCAACTAAACCTCAATATACTCCCTATTGATTTGCACACATATACAGTACATAGAGTATACACATGCTGAAGCTCTAAAGCAGGGGTCCCCAAACTCGGCAACTTTAAGACTTGTGGACTTCAACTCCCAGAATTCTCCAGCCAGCTATGTTTGGAGTTTGGAGACTTCTTTTCTAAAGAAAGCATTCTATAGATTCCAGAATGCATCCCATTTTATTAAAAACAAGTTGCAGTGACGAGAATTTAATGGCATGCCATTTGTTAATATTGTATACAGGATTCAATTCAATTTAACTCTGGAGCAGTGTCAAATTATACTGCTTGGGGATGGCAAAATGTAAGGTGAACACTGAATAGTAATAATGGTTACTAAATATTGTACCTCTGCTTTTCCAGAAGGTTTTATGTTTTTTTGTTTTTGTTTTCCTAGCAAGACTACCAGATTCTGTAACAGCTTTGTTCCCTATGCCATCCATCTGGCAAACTCGCAAGATTCACTTTTCTTGCCATGTGAACGTATACATCTGAGCTAGACTGTGTGGTTTCTCTGTGTCATATATGTGGCTATATGCATATATATACACAAGGGACAAACCATTGGCTAAAAATGAACTGCTGCTCCAAGCTTGAGTTTGTCTTTCCTAGTCATTTTGTTAAAAAATTGTATAAGGTTACTTTGAAGTTGTGGGAAGAGAATATTTATCTTGCTATAGCTATGTATAATAGCTTCCTTCAGAATACTATATCAGAAGACTCTTGAATTAGCATTAAAGAGATAATCAAAGCAACATTTAAAATAACCTAATCAATTAAGTGTCTAACGAAATTAAACAAAACTGATTTGTCCACAGCACATGAAACAGATCATACAGCCATTAGAGTAGATAAATATTCCCTATATTTCTGTCCCAACCCCTCTATAATCTTGCCCTAGAGTGCAGGTGTGTGTGTGTGTGTGTGTGTGTGTGTGTGTGTGTGTGTGTGAATGCTATCTTCCCCGACAGGCAATCTTTTATCTGGGTTAGAAATACCCATATTTTGCCTACTAGAAGTTGCAAATGGTCTCTCTGTTTGAGTAAAAATATCTCCTGGAAGGAAAGGAACTCTAGGTGGAGGAAGGGATGGATCAAGTATAGCTGGAGGAGGAACTGTACGTTGTGGTGGTATCCCAGGTTGCAGTAGTGAAAACCTAGGACCAGGTGGCTGTGGTATTAATCCCGATCGGATTTCTACTAGAGGAATTCCAGGCAACCGTTGACTAGACATAGTTAAATGGGGTAAATTTTGAATTCCAGTGGGTGGTTGTAGTCCTAATAGTCCAGAACCACCTGAAATATTTGGTGGTGGTAATCCTAATAGTCCAGAACTACTTGAAACCATTGGTGGTGGCAATCCTAAAATTGCAGAATTGCTTGATACAATGGGTGGCTGGATTCCTGACAAACGTCCAGTATTATTTGAGACTATGGGTGGCTGGATTCCTGACAAACATCCAGTATTATTTGAGACTATGGGTGGTTGGATTCCCATTAAAAGGCTGGAGCTGCTTGAAACATTTATGGGCTGAAGTCCTGTCAAAAGCCCAGAGCTACTTGAAACACTTGGAGCCTGAACACCTGTTATAAGATTGGAGCTATTTGAAGCAGTGGGTGGTTGAACTCTTGTCAACAACTCGTGTGTGTGCATTCCACAGTAGTCTAAATCAAACTACAAAAATCAATCTATGTCAATGGAATTTATTTGGACTACAGTATAATATTCAAGTGGAAGTCACAGAAATAAAAGAACAACTAGGCTTAACTTCCAAGAATACAGGATAACATTTTTGCCCTTTCCCTTCAATTGTGTACAATTCTTGGAGACTGCCTGGATGAATTTCTGCCATTTCCTCTGCAAGGTTTTTCAAAAGTGGAATCCTACTGTCTCCTTCCCAGGGCTAAGAGAAAGTGACTGGCCCAAGGTCAGCCACCTAGTTTTGTATCTAAGGTGGAACTAGAACTCATGGCCTCCCTAATCTGATGCCTTAACCAGTACGTCAAATTGGCTCTTGAAGATAAATTAACACAGCTTTAATTTCAAAAGGAGATGAGATTTTGTTTGTTTATCTTTCTTCCCTATTGATTAATCAATTATTATTTTAATTTTTTCTTGCCTTTTAGTTGGTAATTTTAATAAACAATTGAATGGAATAATTATTTTACATGAATCACAGTTAGCCTTGAAAAAAATGGAAATAATTTTTAAACCGCTCTCAATCCATGGCATTGCTTCTTATTGGTATATACTATCTTCAAGAGTAAAAATGATTTGATCAACCGATTGGCCTTTTGCCATTACCATAAGATTAGCTGGTGAAACATTTTCTGTGTACATTAAACAGGTACCAAGAGATGATGGGATGGATTTGTGCTGATTCTTCTCCTTTCTTGATTGGTGATGGTTGGCGGTGATAGATCTCAGCCCTTACTGGGGAAGCCAGATAATTCAGTGTTCTCTCGTGCTCTATTTAACATTTATATGAGACTGTTGTGCAAGCTCACTCATCATTATGTTGTGATGTACCAATATGTTCATGATAACCAATTATATATTTCTGCTCCAGCAAATTAAGTGATGCCAAGAACATCTTATCATGGTGTCTACGGAGATTCTCAATCATCCATGGTTGCCCCAAAGGCCCCTTTTTTTCAAGAGGTAACTGGACTTTCATGTTTTTCTTTGAAGGTTTTTCGCTTCTCATTCAAGAAGCTTCTTCAGCTCTGACTTCCCCACCATCCTGTCAGAGCTGAAGAAGCTTCTTGCATGAGAAGCGGAAATGTCTTCAAAGAAAATAAGAAAGTCCAGTTGCTCCTTGAAAAAAACACCTTTGGGACATCTTATCCTGGTGAGTGTCTGGATGGGGAACAACGAGCTTCAGCTGAAATTGGCAACACTGAGTAGCTTTGGGTTTGGAGTCTAGGTTCTAGGACTATGCCATTTTTGGTGCTAGAGGGGGTTGCACTGCCCCAGACAGACCCAGTATGGAATTAAAGCTCTCCCAGATGTATGACATCTGCTCAAAGGCTAGGTAGCATTTATGCCTAGGAGGGTCTTTGCACAGTTTCATGTTGTGCATCAACTGTACCCACACTTAGGTTGAGAGGTTCTGCTCACAGTCCCTCATGCCTTGGTCACCTTCAGATTGAACTACTGCTATGTGCTCTACATGGAGCTGTCCTAGAAGCTTCAGCTCGTATGAAATGCAGCAGTACAGACAGTTATGTGTGCTCCCACAACATGAGTTGCTTTGGCTACAAGTCTGCTTGCCGATCCAATGCAAGGTGCTAGTTTTAACTTTTAAAGCCCTTCATGGCAGGGGGCTGGTTATCTGATGGACCACCTCTTACATCTTCCTTATTTGCCCATCCCACGAGATCTGGCAGAGAAGAATGCAGGGGTACCATTTGGTTTATATATTTACTTCTCTCCATGTCATGTAGGTTTGTATATTTTAATTTTTAATTGACAATTGTGATTATTTTATATTCTGTACTGATTGTTTTTATGCATTGTTTTATTTTATTGTTGTACATTGCCAAAAGTTTCTCCTGGTGAGATTGCCAGCTATACAAGTTTGATAAATAAAATCATAATAATTTATTATTTATTTATAACATTTATTGGCCACCCATCTTACCTCAGGGTAACTCTGGGTGGCTAACAATAATAAAAGATATATTAGTATGTATTTATCCTATTTTTATTATAAATAAATGGAATTTAAATGTTAACAAAGGGTTCCTCCAAATGCAAAATATAAATTTAATATAAATAGTTATAAATAGTAATATAAATATAAATAGTTTTAATTATCAATGTCTTCTGATTTTGGCAGATTAAGAGAAATAACCTTTTCTGTTCCAATTTAGATGTGTGATGATCCAAAGTGTAACACAAACGTAACAAAATCCAAAACGTAAATAAATGTCCTTTAATGCCTCCAACTTGGCCCCACTATTCAATAATTTTCAGTTGGAGATAAAACGTACTCAAAAATAGTCTTCAAAAGAAAGCAATACAGCCCAAATTTAATGAGCAGATAGAGGTGAAAATAAAAACCAAACAAACTACAATGATGAAATTTCCACAATGGAATAGGAGAAATATTTACCAAATTCAAGGAGATTACAAGGCATAGTCTGTTGGAAAGACACCAATCAAGATAACCTCAAACCAAATTAAAGCACGCTTTGTCTCCAGCTTTTGCCAGAACGCAGGTTCAAACTCTTATGCAGTTCTCACACCTGCAGCCCATGAAGAGGATCAACGTCCTCTCCTCCCGAGTAGACCACGCCTCTCCCTTATCCTCTCCTCCCTGCATGCCCTAGGATGGATAGGGGATGGGCCTGGGTCCTCTTCTGACTGTTCAGCCGGCCTCTGCCCTTCCCCAGCCTCCTCCACAATTTCCGGAGCCACACTTCCACTCCCTGTCGGCTGTTCCTCCTCTTCCTCAGAGTCAGTCTCCAACAGGGACATGACAAGATGGATGTTTAGTGCAGTGCAGTCCGCTAATAATCATAGTTCAGCTTAGTCATTTCATTTATTCTGACTGCTAGAGTAAGATGTCATTTGCAGATTCTATAATGTAAAACAAATAGTGTTGGATTTAAAAAGTTCTAATGAAATTAATCAGCTTTTTTGACTTCCATTCTTCTTTTAATTATATGTCAAAAATAATCTTAGAAATCCAGGGATCTTATTTCCAAGTAGTAAAGTTGTAAACATCTGATGATGTCATTTGTTTAGAGATTGCTATGTCACTAGAATACAAGAATACCTTTGGCAAAAAGAAATGAGAAGCCAAATTAGAGGACATGGCAAGCTGGAT